ATTCTTCACTGCAGTGAGGAAGAAGGAACCTCATGATTCTGGTTGATAAATCCTTGGCCTGGTAATCTGCACCACCAGTGTCATTACTGAGCTTTTATTCTGCCTTAATCTTGCACAGTGCTCTCAGTGAAGCATGTTAAAGTGCCTGCCTCAGTCACATACCCACAAGCAAAAGACTCCAAAATACCAGCAATCTTGGGTACCATTTATATATGAAAATGATTAAATCCCTGACATTAAGGATTCTCTGAATTCTAGAGGCTAGAGATAGAAAGGACCCATTTAGGCACTCTGTCAAACCTCCTGCTCTAGCAAGATTGGTCCCTGAAGCACACTCTCCACACCTCATCACCTTTCACTTTTAAAAGCTCAGTTGACATGACTTCAGATGTTTCCCTGGAGATATCTCAAGAAATCTTGGCTTTCACCCCACCTATATTTTCCTTCGCCATGTGTAAAGGCCACTGAAATTTACAGGGAGCCTTTTTACAGGTTTCAATGGATTTGGTTTTTTAATCCACTGTTCCTAGCTGTTACCCGCAGACACATAACCACTCATACTCCTTCCATCTTTGTATCTTTAAGGTATCTCTATAGCATCTTGTCAGCACCCATTATAATTGCCTGGCCAAACTATAAATATTGAGCTCTCCTACTCTCTCTCTCTATGTAAGCCAGCCTCAGCAGGTCAGAGCTCCCACTATCGATTTACATCAACGTAATTCAATTTGAACACAGGCAGCAAAGAGGCAGCACATGAGTGGATGGGACTGGCAGCAATAGGGCAAACACCACATCAGGACACCAGCAGGCCTACTCACTGAAGCAAGCCTGAGTTCACCAGCATCATAACAGCTGCTAGCCATAAAATGCTCAACAATGGTCTATGACATTTGCTCCCAGCCCCAAACAAACAAGCATGACACAGGGGAATGGAAACAGGCCCTGCCTCTACCTCACAGCACAGCATTGGGGCTGGGATTTCCAAAGGAGCATAAGGGAGCTAAAGACACCTCACTTCCATTGAATGCCAATGGGATTTGTGTGTTTGACACCCTTAGCAACCTCAGTGTGGACTAGGACTGCCTCACTGGCCCAGAGAATTGCCCTATGAGACATCACTAGCATCGAACCTGGACTAAAACTACAAGCCAATCTTTTATTAAGTGATCAACCAACAGTTTAAGGATACCCTGTCCTTTAGTCTCAACTGCAAGAAAAAGGTACACAAATGGTCTTGTAATCGTTCAAATGACAGGTTCCATTTCTGCCCAAGAGGTGACTCCAGGATTAAAAAAATAAGGGAACAGGTCATATTTTTCAAGCAGATTTAAATTTCTGGAGATGTCTTAGCATTAGGGAGAGGCATGTGCAACTGACTGACTTTCTTCACCTTGCTTCAGGTGGAGTTCAGCACAGGTGGCACAAAGCTCCTCCACCTTACCCCATGTCTGCTCTAGGTTGTAGCCCAGACAATCACATTCAGGTGCCAGTATGGGTTTTTCAACCAGCTCTAGGCCCTGTGCATTTCACAGGCCAGGGGTAAGGGGATTAGCTGCAGAATCTTGATCTAGAATCCAAACTTTCATTTCAAAATTGTGGAGAAAAGAAAAAAAAAAATGTTCCAAGGAACACAGGACATCTTGGGTAATCAAGTACCGACCCCTGCTGGTGGAAGCAACTGCATCACTTAATCACCTTCCCTAAAATTAAAATTAATTAAAGGCTTTTTGCCCCCACTACTCTAATTGGAAAGCTGCTCCAGAGCATCATCCCTTGGATGACTGGAAATCTTTCCATTTCCAGCCCAAACTTATTTATGGCCAACTTATACATATTTGCTTTTGTACCAACAACCTCCTTCAACTTAAATAGGTATTTGTCTTTGCTGGTCTTTACACTTCTGCTGCATTTATAGCTAAATCTTTCTAGTCTCTTAATACTGGATCTCCATGCCCTTGATTATCCTAGTAGTTCTCCTCTCCACCTGTTCCAATTTTAATTATTTTTTCCTGAACTTGGTAATCGGAACCATACACAGCATTCTAGGTGAAATCTCTCAAGGGTCCTGTACAATGGCACTAATACTTCCCTTTCCCTACTACAAATACCCTCACCTGATAACTCCTGTGATAATATTTGCATTTTCATGGCTGCATCTTACTAAGAGTTCACAGACGTACTGTTGATCATCAAACATAACCAAGTCTTTCTCCTCCTCTGTTTCAATTGTATTACTCCACTCCTTAAGGTCCAATTATTTCTCTCATATTCTAAACCTTTTCTGCATTATCCATACCTCTCAACTTTGAAACCCCAGCAAATTTAATTAAGGTGTTTCTTTGTGTACCAAAGTCATTCTTTAATTTTGATTCAGATTAGTTGCAAGACTGATCCTTGCAAACTCCATCAGTGATCCCCACCAACCTGAGTTCCCCTTTCAGCATCTCTCTCATTTTGTAAGAGCCAGTCAATAAGAGTGATTTTTCAGTGACAACCATTTTCACCTACAAACAGTACCAGGAGCTTAAACCACTATATTTCAGTTCCAAATTACTCTTATCCTCATAAACACTGAGAGTGAATTTTGACTCCAATGGATGGTTGTGCCAAAACTCTCACTGATTTTAGCTGGACCACAGCGAACAGAAATGCAGCTAAGAGAAAGCAAATTAAACTTACATATCCTATTGGGGTTAATGTGCTGCTTCAAGAGATCAACTGATCCCAGACTGACCACAAGGCGTCTTCCAAACCAAAAAGAAACAATTGGGCCATACTTCTCATGCAAAGTCACCAAGAACTCATGCAGGCTGCCACTGGTTATGATGTCTGGCAGGTTGCCATCCCTGAAGGAACAAAAACCAAAATTTACTTTATGAGCAGAATCAACAGCAAAGGTAAAATATAAGACAAATGAAGCAGGAAGCCACTTACTTTTCATCTGTTGGAGCCATTCCCGGGATATCCAAAGCTTGCCTAGAAGCCTAAGGAAGAAGGAAAACACTCCTCAGGGTTTTGCATAAACTTTGTAAGACTCACATTTTAGCAGCTGTTGGCCTGCTGCTCCAAACTTTTTATAGTAGTTTAAAAGATTGTTGTATAAACTTCCAAGCTCATGCTGAACAAATCTGACAATAAGCCATGATTGTTTCTTCTCATAAGAGGCCATGCTCATACGCTCTCAGCAATTTGAGTTCCCTCCCTGTTATTATATTTAGTTTCTACCACTGTGACCTAAGGAGCAGAGGGAATTACATTTAACTTATCAGGGGTTCATTTGCTTTCCCATCTATACTAATTTTAGGGCCAGTTTTACTTACTTAAAACCAGTTAAGTAGTATGAATTTTCAGCAAAGGACAGCAAAGTTTGATTTACATGTTTTCAACTGCAGCTGCCAGAAAAGAGATGGTAATATTTGCCACACAGTGGGCGCATCTACACGAGACACTACTGCACAGCAGCACTAGCAGGCGCTAACTGTGACACGATGCTAGTGGGAAGTGATGAGCTACTGTGCAGTAGCGTCTGAAAAAAACTGTGCGGGTATAGTACTGTGCAGTAACAACTATGCAGTCCACTGCTCGTGTAGACGTGGCCAGTAAAGACACACGTGTAGTGAAAACCGTATTCTCTTTGCCTTAAGATTAGGTAACGCATGGTGGGGCATGTGCCCCCCTGAGACTGGCCCTCGCCGGCCGGGGAGTGGAGGGGTGACGGCTGCTGCCACCCCTCCTCGAGAATGTGGGGGCGCTGAGAGAGGCATCAGTGGCACTTCCGGGTTTGCTGCTGGCACTTCTCCTGGGGGGGATGAGCCACAGGGGGAACCCCCTGTTGGTGATCAGCCCCTGGTGGACCAGTCAGTGATGGGATGTTGGTGACCCTCCAGGATCAAGAGGCATCAGTCGCCCATGATCAAAAGTGCAGCTCACCATCAATGCATGATATTGTTGTATAATATATAATAAAACAATATTGATGTATTTCTATACGAAACTGGGCAGGATGCAGCATCCCCAGACCTGATCCTGAAGGAGCTTAACTCCCAGCATGGGTTCAGTCCCACAGAATTAGCTAGGATTATTCATCTCTTTAAAGCAATGATTCCCAACTGTTTTTAAACCCTCATTAGGCTCCTGGCCCCCCTTGGACAATGCCAGTTCTTGGTCCCCACTTGTTGGCTTTTTTTGACTAAGGAAAAATAATAAAGCTATTCTCCTCTTGCAAAAAACTTGGGCAAGACCACAACAGCTCAGCAAGTTTGCCATATTATGACTTTCTATTTGAAACCTCTGGCATGATCTTGTTTGAGCCCCGAACAGTGCTAACACTGTGTGGCACCCCGCGGCACCCTTGACATGATCTCAAGGCATCCCGGGGTGCGGCGGCAGCCTGGCTGAGGATCACTGCTTTGAAGAAAAGCACCTGTGCGATTGTGCAGGGTCAGGACTCTCACTGCAGACACCTGGACACGGCTCTGCTCCAGCCGCGGAGATGCCCACACAAGGCTCACTACAAGGTGATAAAAGAGCTGCTGGATGGTGGGAATCGCCCCCAGGAACAGGTGGGGAGGGTCCTGCTTTGAGCGGGGGGGCTGGACTAGATCAGTGTTTCTCAGGCTGTGGGTCGCGACCCAAAAGTGGGCGGCAAGAACTCCTGACAGGGGCGTGAACAAACTTTAAACATGGATCCACAAACTTTAAACAATGGGTTCTCCTTTAAAGGAGAAACATGTGGGAACCGGTGGCTTTTCCCCTGCAGAGGTCCCGCCTGCGAGGGGCTGCTTGGGCCCCCGCGTGCCCCACCCGCACCCGTGTCCCACACACCCGGCCGGGCCGGACTCCCGCAGCGCCGGGCGGGGCGGGGCGGGGGG